CCTAGGAACTCACCAGCCTTATCCCTTTAACTGTGCATCTTTAGGCTCGTCTGGACATCCTGAAGATCCATTCCAGGAAGATGAACTTGACACGTGGCATTAACCTGCGAAAGATTGCAGAGCTCATGCCTGGAGCTTCTGGTGCTGAGGTTAAGGTGAGAATTAGCCCAGTGAATAGCAGCAGTTGGATGTTAAATGGGGCATACAATTTAAACTTCCTTTATTGCGTGTGTATTTTTAGGGTGTTTGCACAGAGGCAGGGATGTACGCTCTGAGAGAAAGGAGAGTGCATGTCACACAGGAGGACTTTGAAATGGCTGTGGCAAAGGTTAGTAGAATGAAGCTAATCCCACACCTTATTGTGTGTTTACTAATGAATGGTTCTACCAGTACCTGCCCATTAAGACTGCCCCCCCCTTCTCTTCACCAGGTCATGCAGAAAGACAGTGAGAAGAACATGTCAATCAAGAAGCTGTGGAAGTAAAAGGCATGCACAAGCAACCACATATGTATATTTTTCTTCCTTTGTTTATGGTTTAAAGTAAAGAGTTTACCCAATCAATACTAGATGGCTCAGCAGTATTCCTTCCCTCAACCAAGTATCTTCAGATAGCAAGAAACATGTTTATTTAAGACTTTAGTCAAAGCCAAGTCAGGTATCAGTAGCATCAGTTTGCAGAAGTAGCAGATCATCGCTTTCATTTTAAAAGTGCAGAGCACATCTGCAGATCTTCAATGAATTGTGCAATGATTAACAGTATTGTAAGTGTGTAGTCTGTTCTTAACAGATGGTTGGTGCTCAGATAACAGCATAGTGTGACCATTGTGTTCAAAGGATGAGAAAATGAAAGGGCCAAGGATGAGTTTGGGCAGCTGATGTGGGTTCTTTTAATTTGAGGGAATCGTTGTCAAGAGAAATGAAAAGTAGGTGACTTAAAGTACTCTATGAAACTGGCTACTAATTTTCACATCAGAGAGGGAGATTATTTGTCATTAAACATTTCCAAAATGTTGGCACTGAAATTTATGATTCAGTTGCTCACAGTCCAAATCAGCATAATAGAGCAGTGTTTCCCCTACCATTATATTAGAGGGGTGCCCCGCCCTCAACACTGGGATCCATAACCTGTTGACCTCAAACTGTAGTCTCTGTGCAGTGTTTCTCTACTGAGATGTGTCAAGACAAGAGTTTTACCTCATGGTCTTCTTTCAAGATGGCCAGCCTCTCTGTGCTGTCCACCACCAGGATGATGAACTGCAGAGCAGGAGACGCGTCACTCTGAGCAACCTCTTTTCAAAAGACAGTTACAGCAATAAAATGCAACACAGTCAGCGAGCACTTCCAGGCCAAGAGCCTCACAATGGCTACTGGTGACTGCTATGCTAGTAGCCCTTTTTGAACAAGACAGCGTGACCCTGTATGACAAAAGAGCATTCTGGAGAGGTGTGAGAGCCCATTTAAACCAAGGTAACCACTCAGGAAAAAGACTTTCTGTATTATTAGCAAATGAGTCAACATATGAATGTGACCCAAATCACAACCAGGGTGATACCTGACTGCTCTACTCTGAAATGAAAGGGTGAATACAGATTAATACAGAGACTGTACGGCCCCACCACTGTAAGAAGTCTACTGAAATAGATATTTACTAGGGCTGCACGACAAATTGTTTGAGTGTGATTTCGATCCCTGTGCAATCTCAGCCTCATGATGATGATGTGAGAAACTGAAACCAGAAAACATTCTAAATGTGTGCTATTCCAGCAGCTGAATAGCTTGGTGGTTAATACCACTGACTTTGGTACAGCAGGTTGGGGTTCAAGCTCTGTGGGACTGCAACAACTGTCAGCTCTTAATAACACTTTAACACTTCAGTCTTTCCTAATGTAAACAGTTCTGTCTGTTTTATTTGTTGTTGCTGCACATCTCTAAAAGATAAAGAGTGTCAAGACTGAGTTATGCTTCTTTCTTTTCAAGCAAAACACTCAGAATATACTGCAACCCCCTAGGGACTACAGTATATCTATAGTAACTACACTATATCTGCTTACTTATAACCATTATGGGTAGCTCATAGCAAGGGTTTGTATCAATATGGAAGTACCTAAACACTTGGTGTTGGTTTACAGGTGAGAACAATTCAGATTTAAACCCAGTGTTCAATAATAAATACAAACAACATTGAAATTAATAATCATATGAATAAATTGTGTAAAATATATACTTTCACAGGCAATTTGTGAAATTCATGAAGTATTAAAACTTAAGTCATTATTTTGAAATGGTATTTCATCATTCTTAAGAGTTTTAGGGGTTATTTTCTTTGTGATTATGGACATCATTATTTCATAATGCCTTTTTATGTCCCGTTACTGTGGTAGCCTAGATGGTGATGATCATGCTGCTGTCTGTGACTCTGCAACAGACATGTTCATGAACACAGCAAGTCTAGAACAATTCAAAGTAGGTCAACCATACTTTGTGTGTATACACACACTTTAAGTAGGCCATTTCAACACTTTTCATATGTATAATTATACAGTGCACCTGAAGACCTGAGTACATAAACTCAGAACATGGAGGCATGTGGACCAGTGGAAAAACCCAAAGCTTTGTGGGCTCGCACTACAAACATCAAGATGGTAAGTAAATTGTCCAGGCCATTGTGAAATGTTGCATCAAATTTAGTGATGGGCAAATGATACCGAGGCTTTGGAGCTTGTGTCACTCATCCTGAAGCGGAGTGATTCGAAACGCTGTCAGAGCTTGTATCACGTGACCGATGACCTTCGAAGGTCATCGCTGTTTCACTTCGCGCTTCATTCCTTCAAAATGTTTCGAAGCTTTTCATTGGCTCATGGTCTTTCAGTGTGTGTCAACGCTCATGGCGTTTCAATGCATTCTGAGCCAATGACAGCTTGACGGGTTTTACAGATTTGTGTGGTTTGGTGCCATACCAGCTATATAAGATGCATCATTAAGGGTATTTTCCAAAGCTGGGGAGCTGGTCAGCCAGAAGAGGAGCCGGCTGAAGCCTGCGACAGTAGAAAAAATTATATTTCTCAATAAAAACCCGTGATGACAACTAACTTGTCTGCTTCTGTGAATAATCATTCCAAATCAACCATACAAGTCCCCAAATGACGACGGGGGCCAGAAGGGCCATGGCTCACTGGTGATGGGGACATGGACGGCCATGGCTCACTGGTGATGCGGTTGATCCACCGTAGATCTTTTGGAGTTAAAATATAATGTGTAGCGTTCTGTGTGTATGCAGATATAAGGTTACTTTATCTGGCGTTAACGGGAGTTTAGTGTTAGCGTGTAGCGTTAGCAAAGCTCTGCTAGCAAGAAGCCTTTCGGGCTGAAGACAAACCAGCCATGTGTCCTCTGATTAGTTCTATATGTGGTCAGCCTTCCGATACCCTATTGTTTTGGTTTAGCATGTTCATTTTAACAATGAGGTTAATTTGTTTATTAAAACGTCGTTCTATGAGATTTTGGCGGTAACTAGCCACCTATCCCCCGTTGGCTCTGTAGTCTGACAGCCAGCGTTATGGGAAGTGTTACATATCTAATATATCTGGAATAGATTGACGTTAGCACCTTCTTGTTTTAAACACCCAACACGTTCACTAATGTTTAGAGGACACTGGTCTTTGACACGGATTTCTTTGTTGTAGTGGACAAACCTTTAGGTTGGTACGTGAGTAAAGAGGTTTTCTGCCATGTCTGTGTGAGACGGAGCCTCCGTTTCGATTGAAGTCCAGACAAACCATCAGCTACCAGTCTTCATTAACGGTCCGAGAAGCCTTTTGTTTAAATTAATATTCAAAATATCAGGTTTCATTCACAGTGGAAACGATGCCAGGAATAAAGGTAGCGGTGCAGTGAAAGGTAGGTGACAATCTCACTCATGGTGGATTCATTAGCTTTTGTAGCGCTTGTAATTACAGGTTTCTCATCAATTGTTGGCTTCATATTAAATTTTGAATATAGACCTTGTGCTATGATCAAAACCTACAAAGCTGCTAAAATATACCTGCAACATTTTGTTCAAAG